TTATGTATTCTTTTTTCCTTTAAAGTATAATAAGTTAACATTGATATAGCATCTCAAATCAAAATATATATCTGGTGGGAGGGAATAGCTAAAAGGATGATTCCATTTGAAAGACAATATGTAGTCCAACTGTCGAATAACAACAAATGGAAGCAATAGTTCTTGTCGCAACTATTGTCCATAAATATCGTTGTATAATATACTAGGCTACAAACAATCTCGCGTTCAAAAGGCCAAACTCCAGTTGTAAACATTAAAGAGTATGGTTCAAAAAATATGAGCATTTTGGTAAAAAGGAGACAAATGCGTTTTCGTTACTTTATGGAATCCACTTGGGAATTTTTTTTTTTACATTTTAATGATCATTACGATTATGACAATAGCTATTACCCAAACTATTGAGCAATATGAGTTGATACAATAGGCCTCTAAACTCTTCTCACCTCTCTTCATTAATGTGTCATATATTTCATGATTCCAATTGTATAGTCTTGACTAGTCTTGACTAAATTAGCTCTTGGTTGGTAACGATTCAGGGTTAGGTCAAATGTATAAAAATATATTGGTAAGTTCCTTTTTTGATTTGAAAATATGAAAGGATATAAGATCGTATATGATAGTTTAGATGCTGGTGCTGATGCATGGTGATAATTTAAACGGTACTTATAATTTKATATTTTTATTTGTAATTATATTTTATATATGTTAGTGGACCATGGCTCACAGTATAACCAAACGGTTCGCATTCTTTCGTTCTTGGTGTAACATTTTCGTGTGCTTTTAAAACCATATAGTTTGGTTTGGCATGATTCAGAAGCCAAGGAAGCTTTATTTATTCTAAATTYTTATTCCTATTTTCTCCATTTTTACTACTAGAACTACAATGACTCAGGAGTAAAACATTGTTAAATTCATCCAAGATGGCGCCTAAGACGTCATATGCCAATGAAGCATTGCTCAAATTTTATAAAGATGGACAAAATTACAAACAAACTAAAAGCAGACACTTGATGTACACAAAAAGACAAAAGCAATTACGAAATCAAAATCAAAATCGAGCACGTATTAGCAAAGGAAGTTGAAAACTAGCAAACTGGTGTAACAAATGTTTCGTTTAATGAGCCAAATGGATATTGTCTGTCTGTAGCTCCATATGATGCGCATATGTGACGGCGTTTACAATTGAAATACCTTCCCAATGTTTCATGGGATTCATCCAATCACAATGTGCATAGTTAAGGATGAGGAAATAATGTTACTTCTTCAGCAGCAAGACTGCAAACTGCCAMATCGCGTGACTCCATCCACATCAGATGATCTAACCTGCGATTCCTTCTCCAAGCCATGTAGGTTTGTCAAACGTTCTCACAAGCGAAAACTATTTCTGAATACGATCAAAGTTATGATTGGTAGCTTTGAACAAAATGTTGTCAATGGTTTATAATGGTCTAAATATCAGRAAAAGCAACAGATCGGTCAAAACATTGGACATCAGGCCATATAGTTTTTCTGGCTTYAAAAGCGCACATAGCAGTTTGCAAAAAGGTACGTTAAAAATTTACAATGTTTTTTTTCATGATCCCTTCTATATAGTACCTTTTTAAAAAATGAATTCTTTACTAAGAAATATATGATACTCATATTTTGGCTTTCTCGTTCTAGTTCTCAATCTATGTTATGATATGGTTTAATTTAATGTTATAAAACGTCTTATTTGGTAACAACATCATATGATTAGCATTGCGTAGAGATTAGTATCTGAGCAAGTGATAAGTTTAAATTCTAAAATGTATTAAGCTTTTGCTGGGTGTCACAGCGTGGGACAATCACAACCGAGCTAGGCTCCAGCTAGGTGAAAGCTCAGAGAGCGAATTGGAATTTAGAAGTTGACTTTTGAGGGGAGATGAAAAACAGAGAACTCGGAGGAAAAACCCTCGAAGCACAGGAGAGAACCAACAAACAACTCTACTCATACGACACCAAGACCGGCAGGACTCRAACCTGTGCCTCATTGGTTAGAGACGACGCATTAGCAGCGCGCAGCGCCAGTGATTCCTAAATTAAGCTTTAGAACGTTCGATCTATCGTATCGCGGATCATTATATCATTCGTAAACCTTCTTTGCTAAGTTGCGCATTTTATTAAATCATGATTTGCGGATTGCTAAGATACAATTCTCACATACAACCGAATGAAGCTAAAAAAAAAAAGGAAACCACGTTTAACTTAGAGGTCTATCCTTTTAAAMATCCACACTTTAAAGAAAACCACAAGCTGCGTTTCTCACTCGATATTGTCACTTATGAAGGGAAAATGCAAACTAAAACGTTTGCATCCTAAACAAGCCGCAACATGCGTTATAGACGCATCCCACCACTTGAACCGAGGAATTTCTTCAAAGGCATCCGTTTTATCATTTAATRACATCCTATAAGCTAACGTGTAAAATGAAAGGTTTCCTAGTGTGTGTTATGAAAAACACTTGTTATTTAAAATCCTAGTAAATTCAAAATCCTTAGAAATAGGGAACACTTTCATCGTACCACACCCTTCTAGGATTGCGCAAACAAAATTGGATATTTTCCTTTATAATTATCTCTATCAATGTAATTCAAAAAAWTCTCAAATTTATTATTTCTAGCTCTCGTTCTAGAAGGAAAATATTTATTGGTTTATTTCTGGTCTAGATCTTGTGTGTATTGATGATTGATGCTACATTAAAGTGAAGCCAAACTTTTGCAATTTGATTACGAATAACGCTTATTCGGCGGCTTCTTTTTAACATGATCCATGGAACACAAATTTTACACGTGCATTTGTAGCGTCACCATCAGGCACACGTGTACACAGATCTTTTAATTGAAACTAAAAAAAACTCCAAATGCTTAGAAAATGCAAAAGATTCTTTATGCAACTAGATAGCGCAGACGCTTCTTTTGTAATTSCATTAGATCTTTAACACTGCTTAAAAGCTTTGCGCATTCTCATTCGTACAACAGTTCAACAGTTTCTTCCAAGTAGACATATGCATTTACCACTTTTAATGTTATTTGTGCAATTGTTTTTTTCATATATTTCATCCTTCATGTTGGGGTAAATTCGAGATCCGAAGATTAAACTTTTTAGTCCAGCTTTGCATGTCACAAGAAAACATTAATTATTCGTATGTGTGAAATATTAGTTTAAGGTTTATGTGCAATCTAAAAGGAGAAAAGAAAATTGCCGTGAAATTGGAGTTGCGTGGCAGTGTAACAATTATAATGCTACGTTTCATCGATATACCTTCGTTTCGTCACTCAAGGAAAAGGGAAAAAGAGAACTATAAAATTATCGCTTCTTAGATTCTAGATCTATTCTCAGGCATTCCACGTCAAATTAAACAATAGAAAAAAAATTAGAAAAAAAAAAAAAAAAAAAAAATTAGAAAAAAAAAAAAAAAAAAGAAACACCAAAGCGCGCAACGGAAGTCGAGAAAAAATAAATAAAAGGAAAATAGGCGCGTTAAGTAAATACGCATGCACAGCTAATTGTCCAAAAGTGCGCACTTCTATCATCGGGAATTGCGCAAATCAAAATACGTGCGTAAGTTCAAATYAAACTGAACACACCTATATTCATGTTGTGTGATATTGCTTTGCAATAAGGTGAACATGACGATCCATTTTTGATATTTAGCAAATTAGTAGTAATAGTTTTGATCTAGGAACTATTTRAATAAATACTGCGCATGCCCAACCTGGTTGCACATCAAAACGAGATATATTCAATKAAATTGTCGTGCTCTTTGTAAATGTTTTCTTATGTCGTGTTCTATTTCTTCATGTTTGTTTCTCATCAGTTAAAGCAGAATTAGTAATTATGYTCTACGCACATTATATGTAGTGCGCACCAGTGGTACTACGCGCTGATAAGGAAGCGGATGAGGCTAAAATACAGTATCACCGAATTACMATCTTATTCTTAAATCAATAGAACAATATTTCAATACCTTGAATAGCTTACATTTGTTYTACGTTTAATGCAAGACTTTCCTTTTAACACGAAAGAAGTTCGAGTAATTTTGAGCATACATTATATCTTAATTTATTCCATCAGATTATTTTTAATATCAAAATGTATACTATAATATAATCATGATATTTTTGATAACGAAGCAGCGATCCGAGGATTTGCTTAATGCCAATCTCAGCAAACGAAATAACCAGGCGGAAATGCAAGATAAATAATTCACTTTSATGCTTCGACTTATCAAAAAAACGAAACTCGAAAGAGGCTGTTGAAGTCCTCCTAAACAGAATATGCTGCAGCCTATTGATAAACTACCTCGTGATAACCATGAGGCTCTTTCGTCACGACTGGTGTAACAGCAAAAAAATAACTTCCGATTTCCGCGTGCTTTGTTACAGGAGTCGTGTTTAAACTTGCGTTAAACCCATCTTCTGAGACTTCTTTCTAATTGCTTAAACTGAAATATTCTTAAACCTAATAAGATGCATTTGTTSCTCAGTGCTAATACCAAATAAATCGAAAGACGGTCCTATATTTTTTTAATATTTACTTGATGACATAACCTATGGCGGAATATTTTCTAAAAGTTCATTTTTTCCCGCATTCATCATGTAGGCACATAGGACAATAATAACTCATTGACGCACKTCCTTTGCAACTCCATATTCTATAGCCAGGAAATAAACGAACTTGGAATGAAGTGCACTTATTTTTATTGTTAAGCATTGTTCAGTAATGGTCGAGTACCTGATTAGCTGATTATCATAAAGAGCAATCAGGATAGATTGCGTGACATTCTACTCGCACATGTCCCGACCTGAAACAAATCAAACGCACAGCTGCAAGTCACAAACACAAAGATAATTAACTTCGCATGTACCAACACACACCAGTTGCGAGTTGCGCACCTTTGTAAACCGGAAGATACAAGGAAAACAACTTGGACGATTTAAGCGATTTTATTAAAATTATTTTCATAGTAAAAAATTAATATTAATCTATATAAGGTAGAGATGATATATCAAAAATGCGWTTTTGACATTTCAAAATTCTTATCAAACTACGAAAACATATATAGAATCCTAAACAAATGATAGTACAGTTACACTTGAGTTAGCTCATTATTCTTCACAATTTATTTCTCAATATGAAAAAGTGTATACAAACGTCTAATATATTTCTACGGCATTTTGAGTTAGACTGGATTTTAAGTGAAAATCTCTTATCCTCCTAAAGTTAACTATTACTAAATCCCTATCTTAAATTTACTACCAATTTATTGGATGCACAAACAACACTAACAAATCTTATATAGTCAAAATATATATCCAAATTCAAAGTTAGRCTAATTACAAAATATTTTGTAATACAAAATTAATATTTATTTTTAGCAACATATTGTTATAACGAAAAATCTTCATATTGGAATCACAAATCGTATAGCAAATACTTGTGAAATCCTTTAATCAAGTGCTGAATGTAGAATTCAAATTGAGCGTGCTGGAGCACGAGGAAGTAAGTAAACCATTCATGTTATCTAAACAATTCAATTCGAAGGTATGGGAAAAGACAACCACGCGATACCAGAAGCAATTTAATATTCAATCCTAGCGTGCTATCCTTCTAGAATGTTTTCATTTACAAAAGCCTTTTCATTTTCTAACTCGAGGGAGTAATGAACCCTAACCTCGCCTCTTTTGTTCTGTCAAGTTACTTCTGTCAACAAGTACAAAGTTTGTAATATTCAAAGCGGAAGTGAATCCAAAAACTGAATTCTTTTGCAGTTTTCTTATTAAAAGAAATGAATATCCCATTAAGTACGATAGTCAAACAACAAAATTAGTATTTTGGGGTGCTATTTTGCGAGAAATATGCACGTGCAGGAAGGCAAACAGAAACATGTTTAATATTATAGTTCTAAGAACTGTCATGCGGTGACACGGAGGGGTTATTTTGACTGCTACGACGCTGACATGTCATTCGATGCAGTAGAAAATATGCTACAAAATCGATTGAATTCCTTCACTTTGGAATTCAAATAATCTTTTTTAGCAGATTAATGTAAGTTTTAATATTTCGTACGACATATAAACTCGAAATTAGTGACAATGGCTTGTGTTTACATTTCAAACCAAATACTCGTTACGAATTTGCATAAAACACAGACCGCTAATATTAACAAGGTCATTTTTCAGAACAAAAAATAACCTTACCGATAAGACTAATATTCCAAGAACGCCAAGGATTCTCTATCAAAACAGCTTTATATGTGTAGTTTGGATTAAATAGGATCGAAACTAAACCAGGAATATTTGAAATTAGAGATATTTACTTCCACCTAACGATGACACGCATCTATTTTTAGGAAAAAATTGGAATTTGTGATAGCAAGTATTAATTATGCAGCATTGGCAAAATCATATGTTTGTTATACAAATAGACTGAAATATCCATCGCTTCCTTTCTGGCCTGTCTTATTAGAATAAAAAAAGGGTGTTGGTTGCTGTGTTATAATATGTTCCAGCAAGTAAACACCTTGATCGATAGAGCGGGCAGCTGAAAGAGCTCATACGTTATGTACATTATCCAAGCAGTCATCAGCATGACACTCGTTTATGGAGCCAACCAAATGACGCACCTAAGGGACTATATTTGGTATTAGCAAGGCGGAAGTAAATTATAGTCCCTGTAGCAGAATAACGTCCCTGTTTTAGGGAGTTGTCAACAGGAAACAAATTCTTTAGCTATAATGCGGAAATTATTGGTTCTTTAGCAAAGAAACCAAGAATAAAAGCCCAAATGTTAAGATAATCGACAATAATAACATAATTCCTATCAGTGATTCTGTTGGAACCGATATTATGATTGTATACATCTATATAGAAGATATAAACTATCATTCGTTCCTTCGGACTAAAGTGCAGAAACATACTTCAGAATTATCTTCTATTAAAAATAACTCATTAGTCCCGAGAATCTCCAAGAAGATCAAAATGCCATTTGAACTTAATAGGGTAGTGTAGTAAAGGGTTGGGAAGTGTAGTAGACGGTTAGTTAGTGTAGAAGAGGGTTGGGTAAAGTAGTAGACGGTTAGTTAGTGTAGAAGAGGGTTGGGCAGTGTAGTAGAGGGTTGGGTAGTGTAGTAGATGGTTGAGTAGTGTAGTAGACGGTTGGGTAATGTAGTAAGGGGTTGGGTAGTGTAGTAGACAGTTGGGTAGTGTAGTGCTTGTTCTGCATTGTACCTATTTTTTGTTATTTTGGACGCCCCCTTCTTTCACTTTGTCACCAACCCCCTGCTTCAAAAAAATTTAAAAAAATCTTAACTCTTAAGCTGTTGATTGGCCCTTTGTCGTTGATGGGCCATATACGGATATGTTGCTTCAAATGCTTACATCCCTTCCCTGAAGGTTGCCATACTGTGGTTCTGGTTGATGCTGCCTACTGCCAGCAATGTCGGGCTGGTCAAGGTCAAGGGCAAGGTCAGCATAGACAATTTCATCAGGATTCTTCTAGAATAAACAGGACGAAATGCATGAAATCAGAAAGAAAATAAGAAACAAGCATCAAACTCAAATACTAATCTCCATAAAAAGCTACATCAAGATTATATTAAATAACTTTTGTTATAGTCCCCAGGAGTCTCTTGCGTTTAGTAGAACACAAGTTCATTCTATTAAAAAAAGTACTAGTGACAAGTGGGATATCCCATCACAGGACACCAAGAGAAAAGCGTAGATTATATAACTATTTTAAATGTATCTACAGGAACTTACGCAAGAAATATTAATAGCAATGCCATAGTGCAATATCACTAGCTTTATAATTTCATAAATTCAAAAATATAAATTTGGGGTTTTAATTAAACAATATAGAACCGAATTTACAGCTTTAAATAACGGTGCTTTAAATGCTCTAGAAAGGCAAAGAAAAAAAGTAGAAGAGAAATGGAGGATCATATCAACTCACATGTTTTTTCTTTTTGCTCTTGTCCACTTGTGCATACTGAGGTATTGGCTGAGCAGTGGCCCCTTTTCGCTCCTGCTGGTGTTGAATACTTGCGTAATGTTCATCTTGATCAGGAAGAGAACTCATTCGTACTGCTCTCCTTTGATGCAAGATAAATAACACCAAAATCAAGTTTGGTAGAAAAAAAAAAGTAGGGAGAAGACATGGTAAAGAAAGAAACGAAAAGAAAAAGTAAAAAGATAAGGAGAAATAAAAGGAAAAAGAATAGAGAGAGAAGAGAGAGAGAGAGAGAGAGAGAGAGAGAGAGAGAGAGAGAGAGAGAAAGCTGGAATAAGGACAAAAATAAGACGCACACAGTAACTATGGACTAAGCTTTCCTATAGTTGTTCCAGTCTCTATTTCGTTTGTAAGTAAGTTTAAAAATTGATTAACAAGCAAGAACAAGAGAGAAAAAGACAGGGAAAAGAAGTGTGTGGGAAGAGAGGAAGAAGTGAAATAAATGATTTTATTTGGTAACAGGAACATAGCGACGATCTATATTTGAAAAATCTAAAGAATACAAACATTATAAGTGTGTAACATAAATACCACTAAATACTGCTAAATTATGCTAATCCTATTGATTTATATTGTTGAATTAGCACTATTAACTACTAAATAGTGCAAAGTGTTGCACATTTTTAGCGTTTGTACTCTAACATAAGAAAAATACTTACTCCTGCCTTACACCAGATGCTCTTGAGTCTATAAAAATAACAACGAAAAGAAAAAAAATCTTTAGTATCTAATATTGATATTTTATACATTTTCAAAACTACAGGATGTTTAGTTTCTCTAGGCGCATAACCGTGGGAGGTGCATTTGTGCAAACCTCATTTACAAAACAGCGCGTAAGTCTAAAGGTACTTAATTATGCTTCTACCTCTGGAAGGGACATATGACTAAGTGCATGCTAAAACAAGGTATATGCGGTATGCAGGAACAATAACGCTAATGATATGATAGCGAAGTATTTATTCCTGGAAACAAATGATAACCATTGAGATTCGTTTTTTTTTATTTTTATACACAGCAACATAACTTATTACCTCTCTCCAACGTCTTTTTGCGACAACAGAAAATAAGAGCTATAGCCAAACCAGCTATTGCGAGGATTCCAGCAATTACTACTCCAGCAATGATACCCGCGGGTACTTTCGAACCCGTACCTACGGAGAAAGCAATGACATTAGATAATTGTGGAAAATATCTTAGAAGAAAAATGCAGCAAAAAATGCATCAAACCAGAGGAAAAATGGTGGGGTTGTGTAGCTACGGTAAGAGAAGGAACTTAAGGGAAATCACGTATAATAAATGTTGATATTTAAAAAATGGTGGGGTTGTGTAGCTACGGTAAGAGAAGGAACTTAAGGGAAATCACGTATAATAAATGTTGATATTTGCTCTAATTTAAGCGTTCGTTGTTTGGAAATAAATAATAATATCCAATGTAAAATAAATAAATAAATAAATAATAA